CACTTTTCCCCCAAAACTGGGACTCAGAGCAGCTTACAATTTAAAAGAACAGTACAATTGTACAACCGTACAATATTCAAACTCCTGCACCTTGCTTGGTCTTCTGTTGTACCTTTAACCAATTTAATTACAGCACAGGTTTTCATGGACTTTGGCACACCTCTTCAGATGCATGGAGTACAGCCTCAATAGACAAGAGAGGCATTCATTCATACATATGCAGGGCAATGTGCAAAATCTAAACAGAAGTGCAAACCGTGACAGCATGGTGAAGGGGTGCCAAGTTCACATTTTAATAGTGGTGCTTAAGAGCTGCTAAAAGATGGGTCACAAGTACATCCAAGTAAATCCAGATAAATGTATGGATTTTGTTTACATCCAGAAAAGCTTTTGTTTACATCCAGAGAAAAAAAAGACAGAATTACCCTACAGATATACTGTACTAAGCTGCAAGTGGATACAAAAGTTACAATTAGGGGGGAAAAACTTGTCCAGTGTCATAAAACATGCAAATATGATGCAACTGTGATGGTAATGAGATACAAGGGAAAAACAACTATTAACACTGTCACCAACCTTGATAGGGTTGGTTCAGCATAACAATCTGGCTTCTGTAGACAAATGGCAGGTCTGCTAAATTGCTAGGCTCTGTTTCTGAAGTGTGAAAACATATATAAATACTGTTTTTAGGAAATACAGAGACCTTTTTTGGAAGATGATGTTATGTTGTTCACAGAACTGTAATTAACACCAGAAGATCAGTGTGTGTGATGTGCTAAGATGTCACTGCCTCTGTTCAAACCTCTGCTAAGAGATTGAAATTCACAAGTGTATCCCAGTTCAGTTGTCTCCCTTTCCAGTGAAATTCTCATTCCCTTCAAACTCTTTTGTTCACTACTTTGAGATTGGAACAAACCTCAGAGATTGAAATGTTCTGATATTATATTTGTGCATTGCCACTTATATCAGATTTGTCATCCTTTACTCTTTTCTTGTCCTGTTTGCACTATGGAGAATGAAGAAGTGAACTGCTGGCAGAAAAGAACATATATGACACTGGGAGACAAACAAGTAAATGCACCTCTGTTGTTGTAGATGGAATTACTAGGACAGTGATAAGCCAGGGACAGAGAAGGAAATGAGGGAACAGGGTTCACATCTGTCTTTTGAAACCTATGTTTCTATCCATGTTGCATCACCTGTTGTAGGGAAGTAGCTGTTTATGGCTAGGAAATAGTCTGTAAGCAAGGATAAGTCTGCCACCCAAAGCCCATGAGTTGTTAATTGCCTTCTAGTCAGCCCCGACTCATGGCAATCCTGTGGGTTGCCTCCACTGTTCTGTTTAGGTCCTGCAGATTCAGGCCTGTGATGTCCCTCATTAATTCCAGCCATCAGGCATGTGGACTTCCATGAAAAAATAGTATTATTCTCTAAAATGGGTTGCAGCTCACTGGTGATGCTCTTGAGTGGTCTCAGCTGGGCACTGCAAAGGACAACAAATGTTTTTTTGTCTTCTGCTGTTTTGTTCTGTTTGTTCTACAGCGGATCTTTCCTAGCTATTTGTCTTCCCTTCCCAATTTTCCCTCCTGCCTCATTAAGTGGATAGCGTAGTTAATGAAATGCCTGGTTGAACGTCATGATTTCTGAGTGCCTATCTCCTAGATCTGAACAGATGTCCTGATGGGTCAACTATTTGGGAGCAGGAAATTGACAAATGAGAGATCAAGTCATGTACTCATTTTAAAAGGATAGACACTTTAGACTGCTAGTATGACTCCAGGGTTCCATCTTCCTGGTCATTAATCCGTAGCACTTCCTGCACAACTTAAGTCCACATACCCAACAACTAAGTACCTTGATAATTTTGTGGACAAGAAGTAGAACACCCTGGATTATCTAAAGCTAATTATTCCTTGATCCTTGCTGAAGCCTCAGTCCATCACCCACATGTAATTTGTTGGAAGTATATAGGTGCTAAGTTTCAGAAAAACAACTTGAAGTGGAAATGCAGTGCTATCTCCTAAGTTAACAAGAGACTGACTAGAGTGAAAGAGAAACAAAATGGAGTCCAGACATTGGAGATGCAGTCATAATTTTTTGGTAGGTCAGATAACTTTGAACAATGGGAATGTTGCAGGTAAATCCTTGTGGTGCTAACTCTTATGACAATTGTTTGCAAGCTGTGTTCCAGGAACCCCTGGGGTTCTTTAAGAGACTGCCGGGGATTCTACATTTTCAGTAATGTAGATAGGGGTCAACATTCATAGAGGGGAATTTGCTGATATATCCCAGTACTATCCAGCTGCACTTACAGTACATTTCTAGGGCAACAGAGAGCAGTTAGCAGAGTCATCTTGACTCAAGTCCTACAGGGCTATAAGATAGAAGAACAGGTACCCCAATAACAAAGGATACAACACATAATCACATCTTGCCATCTTGGCATTTCATAGACTGTAATAGCAGTTACATTTCCAAGACCACCCACAAACTAAGACTTAACATTGCACACCTCAGGCCATGTGCAGAGCTTCTGATTTGATGATTAAAGTACATAATTACTAGGAATACTTATTATTTGTGGCAAAGATACTTTCTAATGATCTTGCCTTCCTATGAACACTTAGTTTTAGTTCCAGATTTAATCCCAGTGACTTCAGTGGGATTTACTTTCAACTGAATCAAACTATAACAGTAAGTATCTACATGGTTTCTGATAATAAGTAAAATCCTGACTAATCTCAAGTGACATGGCTGCACTACATTACTAGGACAGTGCCGAGCTGTTGTTTTAAAGTATGTTGATCAACATGAACAAGTATATTATATAGGTTTGCCTAACAAACTTGTTAAGCGATTAGGAACTCTAAAAGAAAGGATGAATGCTCTTCAATGATTCTAGACTTAGAAAATAATATGAACCAGACCATGAGGTAGATTGATAGGTAAGGATTGTGTTTGGTTTTGCTAGACATTTTGGAATCCAACTCCCTTAATCCTTTATCATTGGTCATGGTAGGTAGGGATGACTGAAGTCAAAGCCCAAAAAACCCTCTTAGTGTCCAAGGGTCCCCTACCTCAAAATTAAAGTTTGAGTCCTGGTGCCACATCTAGACCTCACAGCATTATAATGTAAGGTTATTTTTTCAAGCAACCATCTCTAAATTTTGATTCAGTAGAATTTTAGGAAGGGAAGCCAGAAGTTTTTACAGTTTGAATGTGGAGAGTGTGAGCTACACGCTGGCAGAAGGTAAAAACATCTTGTGCTCTTTGGCATCTGATGCATGATCAGTAGGAGTCAATTTACTTCCACCAGGTTCTGTTTGTACACCTGTAAGCAAACAGTTATTACAAGGATGCCATGAGTGCACTTGCTATATATAGTTAAATAAATCCTACAGTATTGCTCTCAGTTTTTACACCATTTAGAAAAGAAGCAAACAATGCTGTCTCACAGCCCAATTCTATACATGCCAACTTGGAAGTAATCCTGCTGTACTCAATGAGACTTACTTCTCATTTACTCTGTTTAGAATTGCTGCCTCAAGTGACGCCTCCCTTTTTACACTGTCTTCAAATAAACATTTCAGGATAATATTTGTTTTAAAGAGAGGTGGTCTTTGACACATGTCACAGTTCAAAATTTAAGTTTGTGAAAACTTCAAAAGGAAATTACATATTAATTTCTACAAGAACACAACAGTTGCTTTGAGGCTTAGAGCCAATTCCATTTCTCCTGTTCACATCATAAGATAATCACTCTCCTGAGAAGGCAAAGAAAAGGACCTTCTATTTTCATTAGCTCCGAAAGTCATAAAAATGATCTTTCAGCTATCTCAAAAACCTGTTGACTATGGGGGGTTGCAGACTGCCAGAAATAGTGCAAATTGAGTCCACTTTTAGGGTTAGGGTTAAGGTTAGGGAATCATGGGAACAGTATTTTATTGTTGCATCAGAGTTCTCTGACAGAGAAGGCTCAATGTCTCAGAAAAAAACCAATTCCCATGATTCCCTAGCACTAACCCTAACCCTAAAAGTGGACTCAATTTGCACTATTTATGGCAGTCTGCAACCCCCCTATATTAGGGGCATGTACTCCCCTACAGTTCAAGTTGAGGCTAGAGTTTCATAACATCAGGTCAATAATCCATGTTTTCAAAAAATAGTCACGAAAGACGCATTAACATAAGCTGTGCATTAAGGCACAATTATTTATACACCGGACAGTAATGGCTCGTCTCAGCTCTCATGAAAATTCTATTTTGAGATAAACTAGCAATTGAAAGACATATAATACTAATAGACATAGCAACAAGGATAACCAAGGAACACATTCTATTTCTGGTGCCAATACAGACTGTACAACAATAAGAAAAACACTGGTCAACAAGTTTAGCTAGCAACAATATAGAATAACATGGCACTGCAAGAGTTCTATTTTCTAGGCATGTTTTTATCTACACACACCAGTAGTCTGTTTTGCATATAACTTTCCACAGGACTGGAGTTCAGAGAAATCCCATTTAAGTCAGTAGAGTACACAAGTAATTTGCAATCTGATAAGGAATTTCTTTGTCAGGTGAAAGAAGCACTGCACCTGAAATTCTCTTTTATAAACAGCAATGTAAAGATGTGGATGTCATGATCTGCCTTGCTTTGATGGCTCAAGGATTTTTAACCCTTTTGTTTTGGGGTTTTTCTAAAGCCAACCCCAACTGCTTTAAATTCTGACAAGGATACTTATTAACAATACGTCATTGCTAGGAAAATCTATTTTGCTTTCCAGTTAGCGTGAGCATTGCAGCTACACTGAGTGGAAACAGGGAGGTCAGGGTGGCATTTGATGTCATTTTGTTGTTGTTTTTGTGCTTTCAAGTTGTTTCTGATTTATGTCGACCCTAAGGCAAACCTATCATTATGTCTTCTTGGCAAGAGTTGTTCATTGCCTTCCCCTGAGGCTGAATGTGTGTGACTTGCCCAAGGTCACCCAGTGGGTTTCATGGCAGAGCTGGGATTTGAACCCTGGTCTCCAGAGTCCTAGTCCTGTACTCAAACCATTATGCCACGCTGGCTCTGTATGATGTCATAGCCCCTGCTAATTAAAATTTGGGCCTTTGACCTTGAGTGTCCTGGATCCACTACACTAATGGTATTCAGTGGTGGCATCGAATAACAGCAGTGCTACGCAGTCGGCCGAAAGGTGGCAAACACATTAAGCCTTTCATAAAATCATAGAATCACAGAGTTGGAAGAGACTTCAAGGGCTATCCAGTCCAACCTCCTACCATTCAGGAACCCACAATCAAAGCATCCCTGACAGATGGCCATCCAGCCTCT